AGATAGTAGTGTAGCTCGAGAGAGTCTCTCGGGAGGCTGGATTAGCCACAAGTTGTGGTGAACCAAGGTAAAATGGTGTGCCTCTTACTCTTCTCTTTACTTCTCGTTTATTCATTTTTTATTCCTGCGATTTCTTGATCAAACGCTATTCACCCCCCTCTAGCGTTGGTCTATTATTCTAACAGTTAGGCCACTATTTGATTATGTTGGATATCTTGTTTAATGCATTGTGGATTTATGAATGTTAAATTATCCATTGATTAATGAATGTTGGATATATCACCTAGAAAAATTTTAGGAAATGACCTGAATGGATTAGTTGCAAGGTATGCCACACGTATAGTAAGTTAGAGCCATGTGGTACCTGGTGGGTCCAATGGTTGATCACGGCGGTTTGGGATTATCAAAACCTGTTACAAAAACGAACACGGCTTTAGTACGAAAACGTGACATGCCCGTGTTTCAACAATTTCCCCCTTTTAGATAATGGCAAACGAGATGAGGTTATGCATATGAGGAAGGCTTTGAGACTTTAAAAAAATGTTCCCCCTTAATAGATGCCATTTTGTTTCAAAGGAAATTCCCCCTCAATCTATGCATAACCTTGATATCTTCCCCCTTTTGACATTAACAAAAAGAATTAAAAATGAACTTTAGAAAGTGAACTTTTATTCATTAAAAGAGGAGAAAATGCTGAATACAACGGAATTTAAATAAAACATGCAATCAAAGTAGAGAAAGGCGAGATAGTAGAGTCTAGGCAGCGGCGTCCTCGTCCTCGGCGTCATCGTCTTCTTCGTCGTCCTCAACGTCCATGGGATCCCCGTCGACCGCGTCCTCAAAATCGGCCTCGTCGGGGGAGGAGGACGGAGCATAGGAGGCATCCTCCTCATCCTCGCCTTCATAGTTTTGGCCGAGGAAGGTGCTGTCAAAGGGTGGCGGGACGTAGTTGATGCCGCGGAAGTACGCCGTCATGTCGTGGTTTAGGCGTTGCAGCGTCCAGTCTATCCTCTCCAAGTACTGGCCCATGCCATCCACGGTGATGGTTAGCCGATTCAGGGTATCGGCTATGGACTGTAAGGAGGCCTTGGCGGGAGCGGGGGCTGGAGCCCGACTTGGTCCAGCGCCGGTTCTGTCACCGGACTTCTTCCGGAAGGTGCTGTCTTGGATGATCCACAGCTTTGTCATCTTTGTGTCCGGCCCTGCGATGTGGATGTCGGCGGAGACGATGAGGTCCATGACGAGGAAGGCGTATGGCAAGCTTCGCTCGGTGGTGATGGAGGCGCAATCCGTCATGTGAATCATGACAAATTTCGCCCAGTTGATGGAGGCGCCGTGGATGATGGCGTGGATCGCCTTCAAGTCCTCGTTGAAAAGCGAGGTATGGCTGCTATCCCGGGGGCGAAGAATCCGGGTGATGATGTAGAGGAGGAGGCGCTTGTCCGGTGGGGCCGAGTGAATCGTCGGCGCGCCGCTGTGGCAGATCAAGTTGGTGATGCCAAGCTCGCGAATGACAACCGCCTCGTTGTTGAGGATCCAGTCGTCGCCACCGTACGACGCTATGTCGGCACCGCGGGTAGGCAGCTCTGCAACCCGAGCGAAGGTAGCCAAGTCAATCTCTATGTCGTAGAGATTGATGCTACTGCGAATGATGTCCCCGTCCCGACGGAGATTGGAGTAGAAAGCCCGGACATAGGCAGGATTGAAGGCGGTGCGACTCTTGGAGACGAAGGGCCACAAACCCGACTCCTTGAGTTGATTGTCAAGGTCGTGGTACCCCTTTTGTTGAGGAAACAGCTCCGGGAGCACGCGGGGCGGAGAGATCGGGCACTTGGCGAAGTATGTGAGAAATCGGGTGAGTTCCTCCTCCGACCTGAACTCCAAGAAAGATCCATCGAGGTAGGGGAACAGCGGGGGCGCTGAGGTCGTAGCTTCGGCGTTGCCCTTCTTCTTGGAAGCCTTTGTATTCTTTCCTCCGGCCATTATTGAAGCAACAAGATGAAGAATTATCTAAAAGAGGAGATTGTGATGTGAGAAATGTGAGTTAAAATGAGTAGGGATGAAGGATATTTATAGGAAAGGGTGAGAAAACTGTTTTGAATTTAAAAAAAATGACTGTTGGGCAATAAATCCGGTGACCAACGGTTAAAAAAATTTGAATCGCAGCAGGCTTCCCAGCGATGGGTAAGAGTTCCCATCGATGGGAAGGGTGACACTAGATAGCGAAGGAGAGAACAAGGCTGCCTTCCCAGCGATGGTAGAACTTACCCATCGATGGGAAGGTGGCTACTGGAGATCCGGTAAAACGCTTGAAAAAAAATAGTGTCAAACACCCAGCGATGGGAGAGAGTTCCCATCGATGGGTACGGAGGTTTTGGGAAAAATTTTTGAAACTGAAATCATTCACCCAGCGATGGGATAAAAGACTCATCGATGGGTAGGGTGTTTCTGAAATAAAAAGTTTTGACAAAAGTCCTTCACCCAGCGATGGGATGAAATACCCATCGATGGGTAAGGTGTTTCTGGAAATCCGTTAAGTATTTTTTAAAAAAATATAGAGTCAATTACCCATCGATGGGAGAAAGTACCCATCGATGGGAAGAGGGGTTCTGGTTAGATAATACTTCCTTCCCAGCGATGGTATAACCCACCCATCGCTGGTTCCCCCTGACTTCCGGATTCCTTCACCTTGAACCGTCCCTGCAAAAAAGAGTTAGAAAACTCTCCGACGCTCAAGTTAGCAAACGTTCAAACAAAGATAAACTAGTGATAAATGCACAAATTAGATCATCGTGGAGTCAAGGATTCTGAGTTCACTACGGATGCGGAAGAACGACTCTTTCTCTAAAGGTTTTGTGAAAATGTCGGCTAATTGGTTGTGTGTTTCAACAAACTCAATTTCGACATCACCTTTGAGAACATGATCTCTAATGAAGTGGTGCCTAATGTCAATGTGTTTCATCCTTGAATGAAGAACGGGGTTCTTCGTCAAGCTTATGGCGCTAGTATTGTCACAACGGAGTGGAACGTGACTGATACTCAGGCCATAATCCACGAGTTGTTGTTTCATCCAAAGGATTTGAGCACAACAACTACCGGCGGCAACATATTCCGCTTCGGTTGTGGATAACGCAACACTGACTTGTTTCTTACTGAACCATGAAACTAAAGAGCTACCAAGTAAGTGGCAAGTCCCACTCGTACTTTTACGGTCCAATTTGCAACCGGCAAAGTCCGAGTCGAAGTAACCAACGAGATGACACGAAGAGCCTTTAGGATACCACAGTCCAACGTTAACCGTGCCTACAAGGTATTTCATGATCCGTTTCACCGCCGTTGAGTGCGATTCCTTCGGGCATGATTGATACCTTGCGCAAAGGCATACGCTGAACATGATATCCGGCCTACTAACAGTAAGGTAGAGAAGGGATCCGATCATACCTCGATACTTTTTTACTTCAACTTCCTTACCCTTTTCGTCTTTGTCTAGGTGGTCGGACGTGCTCATCGGGGTCGCCATTACTTTGGCATTTTCCATTTCGAATCGTTTTAGGAGCTCCTTGCAGTATTTTGTTTGGCAAATGAATGTGCCTTCTTTCATTTGCTTGACTTGGAGTCCCAAAAAGAATGTAAGCTCACCCATCACGGACATCTCAAATTCGCTTGTCATTAACGTTGAGAATTCCTTGCACAAAGACTCGTTAGTAGCACCGAATATAATATCGTCTACATAAACTTGAACCAAAAGGATGTTATTGTTTTTACTCTTGATAAAAAGTGTAGTGTCAACCTTTCCCCTTTGGAAACCACTATCCAAAAGAAATTTACTCAAGCGTTCGTACCAAGCACGGGGTGCTTGTTTAAGACCGTAGAGCGCTTTCATGAGTTTGAAGACACGGTCGGGAAACTCAAAGTCTTCAAACCCCGGGGGCTGGTCAACATACACTTCCTCTTGAATAAAACCAATGAGGAAGGCACTCTTAACATCCATTTGATAAAGTTTAAAATTCATAGACGAAGCAAAAGCAAGAAGTAAACGAATAGCTTCTAAACGTGCTACAGATGCATAAGTTTCTTCGAAATCAATGCCTTCTTCATGATTGTAGCCTTTAGCTACGAGCCTAGCTTTGTTTCTAGTGATTATTCCATTTTCATCTAGTTTGCTACGGAACACCCATTTCGTACCAATAATCGTACGATCATCGGGTCTTGGCACCAATTCCCAAACGTCATTCTGTTTGAATTGGTTTAGCTCCTCTTGCATAGCCAAGGTCCAATGTTCATCATTTATTGCTTCGGAAATGGTTGTAGGTTCAATTTGAGAAACAAAGGCCATGTGTCCTACAATATCCCTAAGTGAGTTGCGAGTACTTACCCCGCGGTTGATACTACCGATTACCTGGTCAAGCGGATGGTTCTTGTTTGTTCTCCATGCTATGGGAAGCTCGGTTGCTTCTTCTTCGTGTTCCTCTTGTTCTTCTTCTTCCTCCTGACTTTCTTCTTCACCTTGGTTAGTCGCTTGAGGTATCTCCCTAGTTTGCGGCTGTGTGTTGATGTATATTCCCGTGTTGTCTTCATCGTCATCAACGTGTATTCTCTCTAATGAATCTGCAAGATCATCACAAATATCCTTTCTCGCCAAGCGAGGGTTATCTTCAGAAAATACAACGTGAGGAGACTCCTCAATAGTCAAGGTACGTTTATTGAAGACTCTATAGGCCTTGCTACGTAATGAGTAACCCAGAAAAATTCCTTCATCCGACTTGGCATCAAATTTGCCTAAATTGTCTTTGCCATTGTTGTGAATAAAACATTTGCAACCAAATACTCGAAGATGGGAAATGTTTGGCTTTCTCCCTTTGTATAGTTCATAGGGCGTTTTCATGAGTATCAGTCGAATGACGGCTCGGTTTAACACGTAGCTCGCGGTACTCACGGCATCCGCCCAAAAATACTTAGGGATTTTTGTCTCATTGATCATAGTTCTAGCCATCTCTTCGAGACATCTATTTTTGCGTTCCACCACTCCATTTTGTTGTGGTGTACGTGGGGCTGAGAAGTTATGATCAATGCCAAGTTCGTCACACGAATCTGAAAACAGATTTCGTTTGAACTCTCTCCCATGGTCGCTTCCTATGGCTACTATGGTTGTTTCTTTTTCATTTTGAACTTTCTTTAAGAAATTTTTGAAAACGTGAAATTCCTCACTTTTATGAGTTAGAAACAAGGTCCATGTAAACCTAGAGTAGTCATCGACAATCACAAATGCAAAGTAATTGCCACCAAAACTTTTCGTTCTAGAAGGACCAAAGAGATCCATGTGCAAAAGTTGAAGCGGTCTAGACGTTGAAACAACGTTCTTAGACTTAAACGAAGCCCGAACTTGCTTCCCCTTTTGACATGCATCACATATGGTGTCTTTTTCAAACTTAAGTTTTGGAATGCCAATTACTAAGTTTTGTGAAACCAATTTGTTCAAAAGGTTCATGTTCATATGAGCTACCCTTCGGTGCCATAGCCAAGTGTCTTCCTCTTTACTCATGAGGCACTTAGCAAAGCCGGAAGGAGATTTGTCTAAGTTAACCATATAAATGTTATCGATTCTATCACCACGTAGAATGACCTTATTGTCATTAAGGCGTTCTACTGTGCATGATTTTGAATTGAAGGTCACACGGTTTCCCTTGTCACATAATTGACTTATGCTCAAGAGGTTGTGTTTAAGACCTTTGACTAGCAAGACATTATCTATAGAGGAGTCTTCGGACTTACCTACTGAACCGACGCCAATAATTTTCCCTTTGCTATTATCTCCAAAGACTACATTTCCTCCTTTAGCGGGTTTGATTTGTAGGAACTTGGATGCATAGGGTCATGTGCTTGGAGCATCCGCTATCAAGGTACCACAGTACACTTGACGCCTTCAAGCATACCTACAAAGATGATCTAATAAGATTTAGGTACCCAAGTCTTTTTGGGTCCTTGAGTGTTAGGTGCAAAGTGGTAGTGTGATTCATTTTGTGCCCAATGCCTATGCCTAGTAAAGCAAACAGGAGCTATATGTCCTACCCTATTGCAATAATGGCAAACTACGTTTGGGTTGTGCATCCTCCTAGGTTGGTAGTAGTTGCTAGAGGGCCTAACCATATTCATCCTGTTTTGAGAAAACATTGGTTTTTGAAAATTTTCCCTTCTAGGTGTTCTAGATTTATTTTGTCTATTTGAAAAATTATTTTTATGCACAAAATCATTTTGATGATTTTTCCTAGGTTGTCTAGCATGCACATTTTCATTCCTAGGTTTTTGTCTAGGTTGTCTAGTGTCCCTAGGTTGACTAGATTTTCTATTTTCCTGATTTTTAACTTTCTTATGTAGCCTTAGGAGGTTGTCTAGGTGTTTGCTCAACGTTTTTATCCTTAGATTCATTTTTATCAAAACCTATTCCTTCCTTAGAAAAATGCATAGTGTCTAGGAGTAAATTAAGATCTTTGTGTGGTGTATTAAACTTTTTAACCGTACTCTCAAGTTTTGCAACCTTTTCTTTTAAAGTTTTGCAAGATTCACATTCACTTGAAGAGCTTTCTGGTTTGTCAGCGCTTCTTTTGCCATAAAATTTGTTTTCTTGTTTCAGCCTTTCATTATCTTTTTCTAGCTTTTCAAAATCATTTTCAAGGGTTGAAAGACGTTTCTTTAATGATTTATTGGTTTTAGAAGCGCTAACAAGTTCGTCATAGAGCTCATGGAGTGCTTCTTGCATTTCTTCAAAAGTATAAGAGTCGGAAGAAATGGTACATACCTCTTGAACGTCGTCGGTTTGATCTTCGTGCGCCATGAGGCAGAGGTTGGCGGCTTCCTCCTCTTCTTGATCAGTTGACTCATCGCCGGAGTCGCCACCCCACGAGATATAGGCTTGTTGCTTTTTGAAGCCAGGTTTGTTCTTGCCGCTTTTGCCTTTTGGACACCTCGGCTTGATGTGGCCTATCTCACCACAGCCATAGCACTTCGGGGGACCGTCGTGCTTTCTTCCTTTGCGCTCAAATTCCTTCTTCATAAATTTGTGGAATTTCTTGATGACGAGTCCGAACTCGTTGTCATCATCGCTTGAGTCTACTTCCACGGTCTCCTTGGTTGCTTTCAGCGCTATTCCCTTCTTCTTTTGTTCATCCAAAGACGGGGTTAGAATAGTGGATTCATAAGTTTTGAGGTTACCTCTTAGCCCGTCGATGGTGACATTGGAGACTCCGATGGATTCGTAGATTGCGTCAGCCTTTGATCTCCATTCGGGTGTGAGGCTCCGCAGGATTTTCCTCACGAGATCCTTGTTGGCGTACGTCTTCTTGAGAGCGTGAAGGTCGTTGATGATTTTTGAGAACCGATCAAACATGTCATCGATCTTTTCGCCTTCCTTCATCCTAAACATCTCGTACTCCTGCGTTAGGAAGTCAATTTTGGCTTCCCGAACTTGGTCCGTACCTTCATATGTGACCTCCAGCTTGTCCCACATTTCTTTTGTAGTGGTGCAGCAAGAGATCTTGCGATAATCATCTGGGTTGACCGCGCAGTACAACATGTTGATTGCCTTGGCGTAGTTCTCCACCTTTTTGATGTCTTCGGCATCAAATTCGTCCTCGGTCTTTGGGACGAGTTTTTCATCGACTTTCTTCATTGGAGTTTCCTCGCCATTCTTGATGACCAACCACAACTGAAAGTTGGTTGAGCGGATATAAATTCTCATCCGCTCTTTCCAATATGTGTAGTTGGTGCCATCAAAGAGTGGTGGCCTAGAGGTTGATTGACCTTCTCCAATTCCTGCATAAAGATTTCTGGAAGAAGAACCCATGATCACTTTACTCTCAAACGGTTAAGTTTGGACGCGAGTTAGGCTCTGATACCAATTGTTAGAATAATAGACCAACGCTAGAGGGGGGGGTGAATAGCGTTTGATCGTAGAAATCGCAGGAATTAAAAAATTAAAAGATAAGTAAAGAGAAGAGTAAGAGGCACACCGAATTTTACCCTGGTTCACCACAACTTGTGGCTAATCCAGCCTCCCGAGAGACTCTCTCGAGCTACACTACTATCTCGTTAAGCTTGCGGGTGCTTAACAAACCGTTACAACTTGAGAGTTCGAGT